TTTCAAGGAAGTAGTCCAGTTTCCGTTCGCAGATTAGTAAGATGGTAGGGTAGGATAGGAATGGGGGGGGGGGGGTTACCAGACGAATTTTTGAAAGGAAGTCGTAATGACACTGCTATATCACGCATCACGATGCTGTACTTTGATCGCAAACCTACCCCATCTATGTTTTCTTTAGCCGTTCTCCTCCTTGTGTACTGCCGTCCGTCGTATACACAATTGTGTACACGTACGGTGGCATACAAGGGAATGATTATAACCGGGGCGTTCCCACAATCAATATGATGATGGCGACGTTGTAACCGAGTCGTGCCATTTTGAGATTTCATCGTCTGAAATATCGCTAACTTGTAGGCAGAGCGTGTCACGGCGAAGAAAATTGGTCACAGCTCCTCTCCACCACTGCTCGAGTACGACGCCATTCACCCTGGAAGTTCGGCTTCACCTTCATGTTAACCCCTTCACATTGGAATTTTCTAGAAAGAAATCGGGCGACTAGGAGTGGACGGGATGGGTGTATGCTGCATGGTAACAGAACTTTTCTCCCGTGAATTCCCACATCATTCCACCGACAGGCACATCACGAGTTGGAGATTTTGGTCGAGTCCGTACGCTTCCCCTACTTCCCTCCCTCACTGGGCTGTCGAGGGTGGGGGGAGGGTGTATATAGCACATGTGAAACGGGGAACCGCAGGAAAATACGACCTTCCTCCCATCTCCCTATCCCCAATCCTATCTACCATCTTGGATTTTCCCAACACCTGCCAGTTTTTCCGAAAATTCTTCCCAGCCTTTTTTTGCTGTCAAGTGGGGGGGGGAGGTTTGCATATAGTACATGTGAAACAGGAACAACCACGAAATAAACAACCTCTCTCAGAAGGCAAATACGACCCTCTTCTCCCAACAACGAGCAAATATGTCAGCTATCGAAAAATTTTTTTTCTAGGATCAGTTACGCCCCCCCCTCCCCAGTGACCAAATACGACCCCCCTGTCGGGGAATCCCCAACGATGATGGGCCGTGTCCACGGAGTGCAGACCCACAAACTAGGTGGGGTTCTCTCTCAGCGACTCAGATACGACCTGATGACTCCTCGACCGCTCTGTGCCATGTTTCCAGCCCTTCTGAAGTTCTCATTAGGAAAGCTTAAAGTGCAGGTGGGTGCCATCCTTGTGTTGGCGGACAATCATTTGACATTTTGGTCAGCCAGCAACTGTCATTATATTTATGGCGCATACAGACCCGATGCGACCTTTATTGTTCCGTCGGCGTAGGAGATAGTTTTATGTATCAGCGGCTGTAGCCAATACGGCTTCTCAATCGGTTCTTCAGAGCGACCGCCCAAGCTGTAAAACGGCCTGTTCCAGATCGTATTTGAGGCAACACATTGCTTCCATTTTCATACTGTTTGGGTAGTTTTCTCCTTCCAATCCTCTGCTATCCTTCCGTCACTATTGACCGAACCAAAGGAAGCTGCTGATAAGAGCTGCACAACTCTTGGCTGCCTTGGCCCGCTGCGCAGTTCTTCTTTCCCTTTCAACAGAGCTTCCTCCGATTTCACGAAAACTTAGTTTCGTCTTTCTCGAACTCGTTCCAGTCCGCCCTCGTATGTCGCACTTTCGTTGTGTCAATTGTGCATATATGTTCTTTAAAAAAGCAAAATTTAGAAATTTAAGGACGAGATTTTAACATGTCATTACCTCGTCCCAAAAAACCGAAAGAGGTGGCTCTAGATTGGACGAAGGCTGCCACGCTAAGGCCAAATCGGAAAATTACGGCAACGGTTAAACGACTTAGTGGTGAGAACGGACGGACTGATATTTATCGGAGAAGATCTTAGATTCTTAGATTTATTGATTAGTTTCTATCAGATGATACTATTCAATTAATCAATTGCGTTTTCAGTGATTTCAATGTCGTCGAGGGTGGCTATGGCGCCGTTTCAAGGGACGGCGCCCGCGTCGGGACGTCAAGCGAAGAAGGTGAACGTACCGGTAGTGCCGAATATGTCAATGGTCGATAGAAGTAAATGTAAGTGAAATTTACTTGCTTCAAATATGAATATGCGATCTGCAGTTATGATCCCTGCAAGCCATAAGGCGTGTGACGCGGCGCGTATTGGCGCACAGCCAGGGTGCACTTTTCTACCAATTGCCATCTTGAGCCGGCTGTAACTGGTAGAGAGTCTGTTCCGGCTGCGCTCCAAGCCATGTCCCCTCAGACTACCTAACAATTGCAGAGATCATGTTGCAACAAGTTTCTGAAAGCAGCAGTGAGCACTTTTGTAGAAATGAATAAATAGTAAATTGTAATCCCAAAGTAGCAAATCTTAGTGCCATTGCCTTGATCACATATAAAATTAACTGGTAAGAATTTGAATCTTTCTAACTGTTTTGTGCTATAGACGATGACGTGAACCGCAATGTTCGCAGCAATCTCAGCTGCCGATCTATGGCCTCGCCGTCACGAATGAGTGACGATCACAGCAGTGACTCGCAAAACAGTAACCGGTTAGTTGGAATGGAATTCTCTTTTGCTATGTGTTTAAGTTTTTGACCCATTCACAGCCACGATCATGCCCATCAGTTCCAAGGCAAGCCATTATGATGGGGAAATTAGCGCTGAAATACGCCCCCTGCCCCATGTTTTCTTAATCGATACGATCTTCGCCAAAAGCGCCTCGGATTCCTGTCGAGTGAGCGCCTCAGAAGTGGAAGAACTATCCGTCGTCGATTAGGTCATGACACAGCGCGTGAAGAATGGAAAAGTTCGGGGAAATTCTTTTGAGGCCAAATACTCCCCCTCCCCCCTTTTTTTTGGTAGTTCTTTGATGATGTGCCGTGGTCGGTGTTGGTAGATATCGAACTCTCCTTTCGGGAAAGTTGGCAAGGATGGTGATAGTGGCCATTACCAAGTGGGCAACTCTCTGTGCCTCACAGGCAGACATGGTCATGAACGGTTCAGGAAATGCTGACTTGCTGCTCCCAATTGATAGATGTTCATGGTAAACAGCATGTCTTACGCGCCTCACCCACTCCGATCCCTTCTCATTAGCTCGAATACGACCCACTTTTTGAGGACTTCTTGACCAGGTGAGCCCTGTTTGTGACCTGTTTGATTTTCTCATAGGAGAGCTAATAAATGATTAGAGCGCGCTGTGCTTAACTGTAACATATTTTTATTTTTTTATTCAATTTTTTTATTTCGGTGGTTCACTAATGGGAACGGCAAAGCAATATTTACAAGCACATGAAGGTTGTACTAGTTGGTAGTTAATGTGATTCCAGCTTCCAAACAATATGAAGCTTATGCGGTTTTGATCGTAGCGGTGTTATTGCAATGCGGGTCGACTCTTATCTAAAACCATCATTGATTAGCTACTAGTGAACCATAAAGAATCGGCGGTCAAGCCTGTTCCGCCTCTACTTTATGGTTCGAGGGTCAAAAGTTTGCAACTGAGAAGTGAGTCCCAGGAAATTTGGTGCATTCCCAAGCGAACTCTCGAGATTCGGCCGATTCTGGTGGGTGTGGGTGGGCTTCATAAATTTTGTCTCGGTTCATTTCCCACCTTTCCAAAATCGGCCGGATGATATCTGGAAAATTGAGTAGGTCTAGGATCCTTCTTAATAATAAATATGCAGTGGTGAAGAGCTGCACATCTTACTCGAGAAAATGGGCTGCTTGTGATTGCTGGTGTGAAATGCTTGGTGATTTGGACCATCCTTGTTGGTTGGGAGATGGCATGACAGCGCTTCTAGTGTTGATCAACCCATTTTCGGGATGCGCCACGCCCTCACTCCCATTCGGGATCCTGGTGGCTTTGAATGCGAGACGCCATCGGGGAGAGGGTGGGGAGGGGTCTGAAGTGAAGATTAGTGTTTTGATCTTTCCAGATCAACTTTATGCCAGTCAACCAGACCGAGATTGCCAGTGTTGGGGTAGGCACTGGCTAGATTCATTGGAAATTTGACTCGCAAGTGCACATGCGCGTGCCGCAGCTGCCACCTTAGTGCCTCTGCCCTTACCTATTTATGAGGGAGTCAGCCGTACACTCCTCTTCGGTTACGGATGTCGGGCGTATCGCGCCAGAAGGGAGTGCGCACACTGTTTGCAAGCCGCTTCTCAGCTTTTCTTTTTTGAAGGCGTATGCGACAAAAAGTTTGGTAGAAAACGAGTAATACGAAGGATATAATGCTGTTATGTCATTTGATCGCTTCAACAACTGGTGCAGAAAGACTTTGGAACCGCGGAAAACGCAGCCGCACTGACCCGCCCCGACAGTCCGTAATGATGAGGAGTATACAATACAGTTGCAGATTTACTCCCGGAAGCAATGCAAAGATAACACGTGCGCGCCTTACGAGGTCAAAATATTGAAAAGATGCATTGACCTTTTCCAAAAGGATCCCATTATAGACAAATGTCCACTGGAATTATTTGTAGAGATTAGTCAGAGCTTACTTTTTCAAAAGGTGGTGGTACTCATCGGGGAGAAATAATTGAACTAATACTGTAATTCCCACATGAAGAAACATAGGAGAGGGACGGATAGAAGATGCATAACATGGTTATTTGGTTATCATATTGGCCCCTGGACGTAAATAGGATGGACAGAACGAAACAGCGGAGAGGTTCGTTCCCGAGTTTTCAGAGGTGACTAGCCACAGCAATGTTGGACTGAAGTGAGACCGAATCTAGACTAAATAGGCACAAAATGTATGGACTGGTTCATTTTAGTAGCCATTCTTTTACCGTTTTTGGGTAAGTTTCTGCGGTTTAGTATCGACAAAGTTGTCGCCATAGAACTACATATTTTCCAGAAATTTGATTAGTCCAGAGTTGTACAAACCCCGCCTGGACAAAGGCGCCTTTGCTTCTAACCTAGAATTCTATGGTGACTGAAATCGCTGCTTTTAGCATCCAGAAGAGAAAAGTATTCGTAGCAGTCATTCTTCTGAAATAATTCAAGAATCATGTTCATGTTAGCTACACTCCATGTCCCGGAGATAGAGTATGCGTGTTTGCATGCTTCATTTAAGCGTGGCGGCCGTTGTCCTTCTGAAGGGATGTTTTGCTTCTCAAACAATTGTAATTATATCCTTGTTCAACCCAGGCTATCAGATGCACCCATAATCAAAGAACCTCTCGACAAAAAAATGCAACTTTAAAGGCAGTACACGCATGAAATCCCCCACAGGCGACTACGGATTCAATACTCCTGACAATATAGAATTCCGCAACGCTGGGCAGGCGCTGCATAGCGGCTTCCCCGAGGAGTGTGTCCCTTATAAGGGTCCTATCAAACCACAACTTTACGTCCCAAACGCCCGCCACGCCCGCCCGCCCACAAATGGACGACGATTCCCTGATTCATTCATTTGCTAAGTAAATTATGAAGCGAAGGGATTGGTAGGAAGAGGCCGTGATGCTGCATTTATACATGGGTACACATATGTAGCCGTATTTCGGTAGCGGTTTGGTAAGATGCCTACGGGAAACTCGTCCGAAATCGATTTACAAGTCACTGAGAACGGAGGCTTTTTCGCAGGATTTTGACCGTTTCACTCCGTTCTTTCGCCATTTCCCCACTATACAGCGCCCTACTAGCATTTTAGGCTAAGTAGGAAACCATCGTGCCAACTGCCTTTAAACAGTGTCTAAATGGAGTACGTAGTCGCGCCCTCTTCATCTTTGGGAAATGTAAAGTGTACAACAACCAATTACTGAGTAAACTTTTCATTATTGGTTAGTGTGGCTTGCATTAATTTGATAATGGCTTAGGATAAATCCGTTGTTCAAAAACCTTAGTAGCCCATTAACTGTTGAGAATTTCTCTTATTTGTTTCCAGCTTCTCTCTTCATATAACCTCGTCATTGCCGCTAATTTGATAGTAATAATGAAAGTTTCCTAGAGTTACAATAGAAGAGTTAAAAGAGAGTCAAGAGTTACAAGAGCTACATCAAATCTCGTATTTATGTAGCTGACCTAATGTCCTAGCTTCGAGGATCCGCTT